GGATGACAAGTGACGATAGAAGTTTTCACGCCGATAACAATATGCCGCCTTGTAAAATATGCCCAAGACAGATTTCCCAAAAGGCCTCATTTGTTTTGTGATGTGATAATAGGAAAATGAATGATGCGCCTCGGGGAACACTATTGAAACAGAATATATGATAGACTCATGTCTATCCCATACGATGAGGAGGTTATCAGGACAACCATAGGCCCTTTTCAATTGAGTCAAAAACCAACTCCAAGTCTCACGATGCTCTACATCACCAATGCCAACTGCGAGGGGAAAGATTTGGTGATTCCCGTCCAATGTGGCTGCAACAAACATAATGTCCTTGTATTTTCCTTTCGTTGAAAGCCCTCAATGCTAGCTCCTAGAGCAAAGAACAAGTGTTGGAATACCTCGCCATCTCGTTGCAGTTCGACAATTGTACTTGGATTACGAACCTGCAACATGTGCAAGTAACCGGGAAGCTGCCCCCATGATTCTTCATGACCTCCATAAACTTTTTCAAAAGCACGGTGTCTTGCTCGGAGGGACACATTGTAGTTGATCGACAAACCATGCTCCTCCCGCATTTGTTCAATAATTCTCCGTGTAGATACCGTCTGGGGATTTGTCTGAATAGTTGATACGTAAATATGAGCGAGAACCTTGGAATTAGCCGAACGGTGTTAATTGTGCGTCAAACTCCCTTCGCATGTATGCTCGAGTTTCAAAGTAGTGATTCTCCGTACATCTCGGTTTGCCCTTGCACATAACTTGTAAGAACACCCTTCATACCGACAAACAGATTTTAACCTAGAAGTGCAGGATTTGGGTGTTCGACACTCAAATTTTTGTTACAAGTGATACAGTTGGATGGCACAAATCAACTCTTATTTTGAAAGAAAGACAGACCCCAAAGATAATTCTATATTGTTCGAGGGTAAGTGAATGGGTTGTCTATCTGATCCAGTTGTTGTGGGCGGCATAGGAAGGGACCACATTCGTGGCTCAACGTCGGATTGCCGGGTGCTACCTCGATTCATATATGCAAGACTTTCAACCTCAATATGG